AAATATGCAAGAAAATGAGAAAAATAATGTAGCATAAGGAGATATGAGGAAGCTGGAGATAGGGCTAAATGGTACATGAGAACTGAGAAAAATGAGTTGACAAGACAATGAAGCTAGAGATGTCAGAGATGAGATGGATGGCTTTTGTGGAAGATGTGAAAAAAAGGATGCAGCTCACAAAGTGACAAAATGACACAGATGTACACTGTCTATAAAAAAGCACATTTCACCCTCATTCTTCAAGAATTTCATGTTATTCTGTACCTTTTCAGCCCTCAGCCACAGGCTCTTTGTTTGACACTGGTTTCAATAAACATGCTGGCTGCTGGAGATATCATTCAAGGCAGTAAGAGATCTGTTGATCATATCTCATGTCTAGCAAACACTATGACCATGTTTAACAATCCCCCTGAGAGCAGTAAGGAACTTATCCCTTTCTTCTAAAACAGGAAGGGATAGAGATCTGCAAGCAGAGCTCTGCCAACCATTGTCCTCAGCATGAGGCAAGCATAAAATATAAGTTAGCATGAGCCTTATCTAAATAGACCTGTAAAACTGTTTCCAGTGTCTGAATCTTCAAAGGCTGTGGGGACTATGCTCCACATTGTCTGCGTTATGTCCCTTGTCTCTGGTGACAGATTCAACTCAATATGACTGTCACTGACAGTGTGTGTGCCATGTTCTTGCCCTATTCTGAGACTGGGCCTTGCAGCTTTATTCTTAATGTTGCCATCACCAGCTAGTTTCAGTGGTTTTCCCTGATGTTAGGAATGCTTGAGAAATTGAATCCTGATGTGGTGACATGTCTGCCAGTCTAGGAATTGATAACAAAGCCACTAATAGTTCTATGAACTTTCTTGGTTATTTTAATACATCCTTGTCTTATGGAGCACAGATACATAGGTTTTTCAGAATTCACCATTGTAGCTTGCTCTTTGCCCAGCTGCCAGAATTAAGTCAGTATTTACATACATTAGATACATTTTATATATCTGTACACTGTCAGTATTTAATTCCAGTGCAGTGATGTGATTTTCCCTTACAGTAGTCTCCTGTGAGGAGATGCCATATATCTTATCCATAAATTGCAGTAAAATCTTGCCACAGTTGTGGTGTATGACCTGACATATGATTTTATACAAAGCTGCACTTATGGCTGTGGGTGTCCAACACTGGTTGAGAATAATTTAACAACCACGTGGGCAGAGGATGCATGAGAAGAATCAGTTTCCTGTAGACCTCTAGGCATTTCCTTCCCATGTCTAGTGATAGATGAATCCAAGTTAAACTAAGATATATGCTTGCGCTTTCTGCAGAGTCTGTGGGCTCAAACAGAAGTCTCAGTGAATGTAAAGGTGCCATGACGAAGTGTAACAAGATCATGACAGTTTAAACTTGCTTTTAAGGGAATAATTTGTTGAATCTCATGACTTAATGCAGTGTCCTCCTAGGCTGGAGAAAGGGATCCCTGAGTAGAAGAGCAATAGGATTGAAAAACAGATGAATTCTGTATGACATCAACTCACTGCTCTTCTACCTTTCCAGTTCCCAGAACAATTCTGCAGAAAATCTAAGTGGAAAGCTTCATTTGTCATGAAATGCAATTAAAGACTATTTTAGATCCTGTAATCCTAAAATGGGGTGTTCCTTGGTCAATTTGTTTCCAATAAAAACACAACGTGCCTACCATGCCATCCCTAGTGGGGAGACCAGAATAATAAATCAATTATGATTGGAAATTGTGATACGGTAATGAACTTCATCAAATCTTTTTCCTTCTTACATCAATATTTACAAATCCAGACAGTTTTGGCAGGGGCAGTAGAAGATCATCACTTCATGGGCTTGTTCTATGAGTCTGTTCTCTGTCTGCTCACAAGTCTCACTGAAGTTCATAAAAGCCTGAAGATCAAACTGAAAGTTTCATAAGGATGTCCTGATTTTGATGTCACTTTCTTAATCTTGTTTTATCATTGCTTTCTTGTTCAATTTCTCTTTGTTATTATTGTACTCCTTCCATACTTACCTTCCTCAGTAATGGATCTACTTGTTTTTTCTTTTACAAGAGATAGCTCCATTCCAGTTCTTTATTTACATCTATTTTCTTATAATCATGGCTTTTACTTTAATATACCCTGCATCTGTAATGCCTAATGCTTTTACATGTATTTAGACCTTAGAATCTTTAGAATGTGTGGTGGTGGACTCTGATTATTTTAACACATGTCCAACTGGAATACAGCTGTTGGGACTTATTTCATCACTGTGGTTTTGCAGTGCCCACTAATAGAGTAAACATAAAGACTTTGATTTCCCTACCCAAAGCTGTTTTCAGTTTGAGATTTAATTTCTGCAATTATAAAATTTTATAAAACCACTAGTATAGTTTCAGCTCTATTACTTAAAGGTAATTATTTTATTTATTTCTGTAAAATAGGGAGCTTTTTATCAATATGAATGAGTCTCTATCAGGGCTTTTGCTGGCTATATGTAGATCGAAAACAAAATGATATTTGTGGAATATGTTTTCTTATTACATCTAAGTGCCCTACAGATAGCATGTTTTATTCTGTGATCTATTTTTTGCAACAACTTATATGGCTTTATTTTTAATTTCTTGGTTTTGTGAGTGGGAATAGGGCTGGAGTTATGTGCATTATTTCTTTCTATAAGCATGATCTGCACCTTGTGCTATCTGCTTCAATGTTTCTCTGTAAAGCTTAAATTAAAGGCGAGTGTTCAAGCAGGAGGAAACAGAAAGCAAAGCAATAATGGAGACAAGTAGGTCATCAGAATGACTCTTATCTGAAAAGTGTTCCAACAGGATCCTACCAAAAAGCATGGTTTGCTATCCTCAGTGCTGAAAGCCTAGGATAGAGAATCATGTCTTTAACAACACTGGTACCTAAGGCAAGTAGCACTGCCCTGATTTTTGCATCTTTTGCTGTAGACGTGCACCTGTGAAACAGAGAGATACAGAGATGCAACAACCAGCCAAGAAGTGTGAATGAACCTGCATTGTTAACAGCTGATGCAAACTTAGGAAAGATGTGGGTACAGAACTCTGCTTCCTTTGCCCACCTTTCTATGTAATATATTTCTTTCGACAATTTTTTTGTTTCTATTTTTTCTATTTTTGTTTTGAAACTGCTTGTTGAGCTTCTGCTGTCCATCAGTCACAGGTCACTGAATAAGAATCTTTCATGTTCCAAACCCATTTGCCAGGTTAAAATGTCTGTGTGGCAGGAGAATAAAAAAAGAAGATTCAGTGACAAGGATGCATGTTAGAACTGGTTCCAAAAAATGATGTTTTTAAAAGGGAGAAAAAACCCAATTACAGGTGTCTGGTCAGAATAACATTTGGCTATACGTTATGGCCACTACAATGAAAAAGCTTTAAACCAAGTTATTTTAGAAACCATTAGCAGTATTCATTAAAGCATACAGAACTTTTCTAAATGAAATTGAATAAAAACAACTCATATTCATGTTAAATACTTTCTATATTTTGGCTATTCACAAGTGAATAGTCTAACTTTATTCCTTAGTACTGGTTTGTTCAAATGATCTGCAGATTTCAATGTTCATTTTCTACCTAATACAGGTTATTATTTGAAATGAACCCTCTTCAAAGGTCTTTTATTTTTTCCTGTATTCTTAGCCGTATGTTTCCAAATATGTGATTCCAAAGCTTATTAAAAGCACAGCTTTTTCTCAATCTTTAATCATGTTATAGCTACTAATGATAGATGTACTAATTTACAGCTTACTTATGGCTTCTCATTAAGAGCAACTGACAATGATAATACTAAAATAAAGGAAAGAATGAAGACCAATAAGATATTCTTAAGCTAAAGTTCTAGCTGCAGCATGAAATCACCTATATTTCACACACACACAGAAAAATGCAGTGGGAGTATATCTCAATTACCAGTTGCCTGCCTGACTGCCCCACTGGCATTCCTGACACAGGGACTGCTTCTGCCACCAGTGCCAGTGCCAGGGGCTTGCACTCCATGATACAACTGAGGACTAAATGAATTCTGCAATTCTACCAAGTGGCCAACTTAAGAGTCATTTGAAGCACAACAGACTCCTTAGCTATACACAGACAGTGCTTTTCCAGTGAGACATCAATTTTGATCAGATTGTTTAGACTGTGAAACAGAATAAGTGTAACAACCATGACATTTGTAAAATCTGTTCTTACCACTGTACAGAACACAATTTTCAATGCCCATCTTTGAAATTAAATATTGGTTGAACATGACTGCACTAATTAGATACATAAACAACTTTTAATGTTGACTCTTGGTAGTCTTGCCTATGTTCTTTCTTTCTACTTTTTGTATACTCACAGCTCTGCAAAGTATCAGCAGGCCCGGATGAGTTTATATTTTATCACAACTGGAAAGATTAAATGTCTCTATTTTTGATTAGGTTATTTTTTTTATATAGACTGTGTGTTTGCTTTTTTTATAATCATGAACCCTACAAGCAAGATTAAGATCAATAAACAAATTTAGCAAACACTACAAAGGTGACTTGCTTAAATTAGTAAAATAACACAGATGAGGTCTTCGGTTTCATAGTTATCTAATACATGCCATATACTGATCACTTTGCTTTTGTGATTAGAGACCCAAATGTTAATTATGCTATTAATATCTAAAAAACGTCAAAACTTTGTCTGAGATTTTAAAGTTGCTTAGATAAGAGTGAAAACAATAATGACAAAAATTTATAACACAGTAAAAGGTATTATCAGTCAGAAGTAATACATTTATTTGTAAAGAAACTACAGGGATCTACTAATGTATCAGGAATCTACTATGTATCAACTAATTTCTTGAACTCCTATGGAATTAGTTTATTTATAAGAGATATTTGGCATTATTTCTTTAAAATCTGACTGGAGGTGAAAAAAGAGATTTCTCTTTGACCCCAACACCAAACATATCTGTAAATGTTGAAAAAAATGTCCCAATCATTTTACTCACCCTCATCCTTCCATTTCTTATTGCTGGTCCATCTTCTGCTAACCTCAACACATACAAATCCATTTTGTACTCCCTTCCTCCTCGAATACTAAACCCAAAACCTTTGGCTCCTTTCTCCAAATCAACGGTGAAATAATCAAAGTCCTGTACAGACAAATACAAAATGAAAGACAATTAACTATACGGACATTGTGGTACGCCTTCGAGAAAACTTTAAAATAGATCTCTTCAAAAGTGCATTGATCCACTTGATATAAGCAAATGTCCATAGAGGGGCTTGGGAGGGAAATGGTGATGTAACTTCTGATCCATTGTCAGCCAAGAGTGCAAGATCCATGGGAGCAGGAGAAAAGAAAGAGCAAGCTCGGGTTGTGCAGTCTACTGATCAGAGAATTAAACTGGAGATGCTGGGAAACAGCCAACCCAAGCACCTCTCTAGATGCTGAGAAGCATCTTATGTGCACATGGGGATAGAGATTTGCTATGTAGATACTGAAATGCACACTATTTCATAGGGTTCTCTGGATCTCACTTTGGAATTTCAGTATTTTTCTTGACATGGTTTATGTGTCTGGTTTTGAAAATATGGACATACAAACCACCTATACCTGGTCCCAGCATATAATGTCTTTGAGGTTTACAGTCTCCTATTTAATACTTTTTGACCTCTGTTTTTCCTGCCCTTACATAAGGAGAAAGGAAGGTCTTTTTCAAAGTCTGAACTTTGAGCTAAATCTTCAGCCTTCAAAACTGTTTGTAAATATCTGATCATCAGAGAAGTCTTGTCCAAGGTACCATAACTCTTCATCATACTCATCATCTCTTTGAATTTGTCAGATCATGCTTGATGTCAAAGAAACTAGTTGCATGGGCTAGTTTCTACTCATCCAGACTATTATCAAAAGAAATTTAATTTTATCAGTCAGGATTTTAATTTTAATCACGACATTCCTTTATTTATTCTGATTAGATAAAATCTTAATTTTCAGGAATGCTGTAGAAATGCAGTCTGACCTGAGTATACCCACCGTTTGATGACTATGTTCCAAGAATGAAAAAATTCCTCTGCTGATGAAAAGGCTTTTTATGTTAGAATTTTTATTTCAACTCTCCAGCACCTCAAAAATGACATTTATTTAACATTACAGTCACGCAATTATAAACGTAATGTTAATTTACAGATCACACAGTTATACAATAATATTGATGGTTTGGAAGCAATTTCCTCTACAGAGAAGTAGCAACTCAGAGTAAAACCCTTTAATGTGTCTTTTCCTTCCATAGTGGCATCTTCCTTAGCAACCCCCATGCCCCACCCCGACAGACCCTGCTGCCCTCTGAGTAGGGGTGCTCGGGGGGTGTCTGTCTGTACCTGGGGCTGCCTGTACTCCGACAGGGGGTACTGCCTGGTGTCAGGGGAGTGCTGCCTGTAGTCCATCAGGGGGGGCTGCCTGTAGTCCAGGGGTGGTGGCTGCTGGTAGTCCATCACCGGGGGGTGCCGGTAGTCCAGCGGGGGCTGCCGGTAGTCCGTGGAGGATTGCCTGTAGTCTGTAAACGGGGGTTGCCGGATATCAGGCTTCACATCCTGCCTGGCTTTTACTTCTGACCTGTAGCTGAGGAAGGCACAGTGGCTTAGTTTCCGAGTAGCAAACCATTACGAGTATGCATTGCATGCAATACTGAGGAGTGAAGCTGCCTGGCTGCAAAATTGCATGGAACAAATTTTGGCAGAGAAGCAAAACTCTCAAGGGTAAATAATCGAGGCATGCAAAAACAGAGAGTGCTTTTGAAATATAGGCATAAGCAATTTTCCATCAGGTCATACTATACAATTTTCCAGCTTGAATCAGTGAGATCATGAATAGACTCAAAGGAACAGGAACAGAAAAAGCCTATTAATTCCCACTTACTTTGCCTATTTTGAAGATGAAACTGCATGTGAAAACACCTACTATACTCACTACAAAATAATTCACTGAATTGATAAAAACTTATTAAATTTATAAGTTTATAAAATGTTTCCAAAATTATTATTTCTATAGACTAAGTGGAATATTGGTGCAGTTTATATCCCTTTTCATCGATGTAAAATGTTATTGTGAGTTTCTTAAGGTGAAAAAGGATAAATTCTTTGTCTTAGCTGTTACCTTTTTAATGAAAGCTATTATTTGATATAACATCTGTTAATACAGTGTGTATTATTTTTATTATACACTCCCTATGATGCTATCTGGCTGAAAGCTGTGTCAGTAAAATCATTCAGTAGTTATGCACAGGAATACCACAAGGTAAAAAGAAGATACATTTGGTTATGAGGAATTAATAACAAGTAAAATACTGCTTTAGCTGGTAAAATTTGAAAGAGAATGTGACTTTCTGAGGCATAGTGACTAGTTATTTACTTTAGTCAGATGAGAATTTCCCTTAGTCCATAGAAATTAGCACATGATGGCACTTCAGGGTGAAGTAAAGAATATTCCTTATAAGGAACTTCCCTACCTCAGCCATGTGGTATGCTAAAGAGGCACAAAGTCCTGGACTCTTTTTAGCAAGATAGTTCTGTAATAGTGGTTTGGGTAATATTTTAACAAAAATGTCCATAGAGTGGATGTTCTTACACTCTTCCCTAGGTGCCAAAGGAGATAGACATTTCAAATTCTGCTTTAATAATGGACTGGAAGTTTTCAGTCAACCAAATGACCATGTCTGTTCATGGACACATACAGATACAGAGACATATGCAGACTTTGAAAGGGATTTTTAAATGTACTTATTGATTACAAAAATTACACTCTGAAAAACTGACAACATTGTTTTTGATGATATTGATTTATATGTAAAAAGGTAATATGAATCTAAATGTTTCAAATTGTCTGATATGTTTCAAAATTTCATTATTTTATTAATGTAGTTACAGTGACATTGTGGCTAACTTCCTACACAATAGTTTTAATAATCTGAATGTCTAACCAGACACAAAAAAATCAGAGCTATTTCCCTTTGACTTTTCTGAGAATATAAAAATAGACTGCTGCCACACTTAATAAGACCTGCATTCATACATGCAAGCCTCTTTCTTTACTCAGTATCATGATCCTGTAAAAAGAAGAGAGAGGACAAACTTACTGTGATGCTTACTGTGATACTGAGCCTTAATACTGGAAGTTAAAAAACTAGTTAATATTCCTAAGAGTTTTAAAATCTTATTTTAGTAAAGAAACAATGGATGTGGCTATATGATCAAGCTGTAGCCTAGCTTGTAAATCCTAGTGAAAAATAATTCTATGTGAACTAGCAATAGGTGACCTTTCTCTGAAATGAGTCATCTTTAGGCAGGTTCCCAATACATGGCCACAGCTGCAGATCAGAAGATAATGTTTTAGTTCACAGATGGAGGCACTGTAATTTTTGCTGAATTTGTAAATGGTGACATGAGCAATTAGAGCTTACACTTTTCAATAAAATTATTACAGAATTACTTTCTGGAACTTTAATTAATACAGTTTGCTGCTCCTATCTGAAAATTCCCAGTTTAACAGACATTCAATACTGACTTCCAACAGCACAGAATGACTTTTGTGAAAACTGTGTTGAATTTTGTCAGAAATGTATGTCTTCTAGGAGGCGATCACTTTTGGAAAAAGTACTCAATGAAATATAAGGCAAAGTAATTTTCCTAGTATGACTAATTGAAAAGAAAATAATTCTGGGCAAGTGAAAGCACTACATCTGTTAAGCAAGGAGAATTAGAGAGTGTAGTGTCCGAATCACAAGCGACCTCAAGTATTTTCAGAAGAGAAAAGTTATAATCCTGTAAGCAGCATCATTTGGGGAAGAGGATCTTGATGATATGTGTTGGTTACTGAAGATTAGCATAAAGACAGTCAGTGTAATCAGCCTTGTCTAACACTGAAAAAAATACAAAGACTAAATAGTGTTGATTGGAGGTCACAGAAAGTTGTATCATCCCACAGCGTGTGTGTGCTTTTTATATAAACAACTTTTAATACAGCTGGTCACAAAATTTCTGTCCCCCTACCATTTGATTTCCATTATAGATAAATCTGCTAACATATATGCATAAATTACACATGAGAAACTGGCTGGTAAATGATACACCAGAAATTATACCTACCGTAAAAAATATCTTCCTGACTCCAGACTAACATGCAAGGGGAAATTAAAAAAAAAAATAAAGAGCATTGAGAAAATGCCAAACCTGTTCTCGTGCCCCTGTGGCTGGAGGGGCTGTGGAGGCGGTGGCTGGGCCACGGGGCTGTGCTGGGCCACGGGGCTCTGCTGTGCCAGGGGACTCTGCTGGGCCATGGGGCTGTGCTGCTGGGCCATGGGGCTCTGCTTCTCCGAGCTGGGCGCCGAGGCTGGGCTGTTCAGCTCTGCGTGATGGGGACAGGGACATTACAGACCTGTCACTGCACAGCTTTTCATAAAGGGCAAAGGTACACAATGATCATTTTTGGTCACACTCTACCTCTGCAAATTTATGCTTTGTTTCTTTTACTCTCTCAGGTTATAATTAGATTTTAAGACATTTGAACGTAATGATCTCCTTTTGATACTCTGTGGGATCCAAAGTCTTGGTCACTCCTGTAATTCTGGTTGACACTCTCATTATTTAAAACACAATTAAACAAGGCAAATTGCTTCCATGTTTCTCATATTCTTTTAAAGCACAGAAATACTGATCACAGAATGATGGAATGATAGAATTACAGAATAGCTTGGGTTGGAATGACACTTAAACGTTGCCTAGTCCAACTCCCCTGCAATGAGCGGGGACATCTTCAGCATGACCAAGCTGCTCAGAGCCCTGTCCCACCTGGCCTTGAATTTTGACAGGAATGCCAGGATGGGGCATCCACCACCTCTCTGGGCAACTTGTTCCAGTGTTTCATTATCCTTATAATAAAAAAAAATAAATCTTTTTTACATCTTTCTGAATCTATCTTTTTTTAGTTCCAAGCTATAAGATGTCTTGTCCTATCACAACAGGCTCTGCTAAAAATTCTGTCCCCATATTTATTTTATTTCTTTTAAGCCCCTTTTAAGTACTGAAAGGTCAGAATAAAGTCTCCTTAGATCCTTGTCTTCTCCAGGCTGAACAACATCAATTATCTCAACCTCTCCTCATAGGAGAGATGCTCTAGCCCTCTGATCATCTTCACGACCCTCCTTTGGACTGCTTCCAACAGGTCCAGAGGACCCCACAGCTGGATTCAGAACTCCAGGTCAGGTCTCATGAGAACAGAGCAAAGAGGCAGAATTACCTCCCTCAACCTGCTCATCCATTGAACAGTCCCCCCATCAAACACATCTCTCTCCAATTTAGAGAGAAGGATGCTGTGGGGTACCATGTCCAATGCCTTACAGAGGTCCAGATAGGTGAGATCTAGAGTTCCTCCCTTGACCATTGCTGTCCACTGATGGAGTTACTCCACTGTAGAAGGCAACTAGGTTGGTCAGGCAGGACTTACTCTTGGTAAAGCTGTGCTGACTGTCCTGAATCCCCACCCTATGCTGCACATGCCTTAGTACAGCTACAAGATATTTGAAATGCTTTCCATTTAGAAAAAAAAAACATTTTGAGAGAATGAATATTTTACAGCTTTTTCCACTGTTTGGGATGATAGACCTGTCACAAAAGCTAGAAGACTGGAGTCCTTATGTTAGCTCCTGCTATCTTTGAGAGCTCAGCAAGAGTTTCTTGTATTTCAAAATTTTTGGGGACTGTGAACAGTAAGACAGTAAACCCAATCTCAATAAATTATGCTAACCATTTAAACCGATGTTTTATTTCACTGTATTATGTCAAATGACTAAGGTTTTGCACAGAACAGTGCAGAAAAACAGAATCATTATTTCCAAACAACACAAAATTCAGTAAGACAGAGAGATTGGCATAGGAAATACGTTTCTGCTGCTTTTTTTATAAATAAAAGACGCCAATCTTCATTTAGGCTTCCTGCTGGACTTGAGGGGAGACACATTTGGTACTGAGCCATATCAAATATATTTTTTCCAACACACTAGCACAGTCCTGTTCACCATTTACCTATTAGGAAGCATAAATGAGAGAGACTCTGCCCACAGGAGGACAGAGCACCACAGAAGTTCCTGCATTATCAACAGCAAAGGGAAATACATTTTTTCTATTCCTGCTTGCAACAGAACGAGTGAGACCAGCGTGGCATGGTGCAGAACAAACAAAATGGACACACATATGTCTGAGCATCCCTAACAGCAATGGCTACATATGATACAGATCTTGCCTAGTTTTACATTTGAATTTTGTTTTAATTTTTATGTGGTTTATTTTTAAAATTTTAACGTTTTTTCCTATGCGTGCATATTCCCTACTTATCTAATTTATACTCACAATTATTATAAAAAATTTGGCTACTTTACAAAAAATATTTTCGATGTAGGATTAATTGTCAAAAAACCCCTTGTATATTTGCACTTAAAACAATCCTCATGCAGGCATAAGCAATACTTGTCTATGTAATTACCATGCTTAAGGCTGTAATTGCCCGTTTTCCATCTGTAAGCCTCTTTTGTATTGCAAGTTTTTTGGAGAGGAAGATTGGAAATGTCCCTCATTTTTACATTACTCTCATATATGGATGAACTGGTCAAATCATGAGCTGCTTCTAAAACTGCTTTGCATTTATATGGTATTTTTTACCTGAACGTTTATTATAGAGGTATTAGATTTTATACCAATTTTTATAAGCTAGAAAGGTAATATCAGAAGGCAAATGAGGTGTCCAGTGTCACACAGTAACACAGGGAAGCTGTGCCTTGGGCACAGATCTTTTCTCACCACTAGCACCTGAGAACATCCTGTAGTACTACAAGTCAGCTGCACCTCTGCTTTCTTTCTAATTTAATGTATCCATCTCTAACACTGAACTATTAATGATAATATTTAACCTGGATACCAGAGAGGCTTAAACGAACTTCATGGACTGTATGAAGTATCACACTTGTTTTAGATGCTTGCAAAGCTGACCTCCAGTAATTACACTGGTGCTAATTGATGTGAATTCTAAATTTGTGTATGTTTGTGTTTTTCCCTTCACCGAATTCATTTAACAAAGTAGATGAGTTCCCTCAGTTGCAGTCTATGACCAGTGTCAGACTATTTCCCTGTCCTGTTGCTAGATGCAGCAGCATAAGGTGAAGGTCATTGAACTGGACCATGGATCATTAAGTAATTCCATTACTTTCTGTGTGTCATTCCCAGCTCTACTGGTATTTGTTGCTGAGCTATAAAGACAGAGTCTCATTAATGTGGTACAACTCATGCAGCAGTGCAGCACATTGTTAAACTAAAAAAAGCACTGAAATCAACCCCAGACCCCATGGAACTAACATCAAAAGATCTTCACTGATTAGATGTGGAGTAATGACCAGAATAATGAGTCTCTCCCCTTATCCTGACCCTAGAAACGAGATAATTCAGGGTTCAGTTCTCTCCTGCCTTGTGCATTTACAGTGATATGTCACCATATGATAGTGATGGAGGAAACTGCCAAATCTGAACTCTTCCTTCACATTGCAGTCTCTTGTGAATCACTTTGTCAAACTTTGGCTTGGATTATAGCAAGATACAAGGGAACAAACTCAAAACTTGGCTCTATTGTAGAGTGCTTTTCCATGTAGAAGACAATTCTTGCAAAAGACCTTAACATCCTTTTTCCCTCTCTCTGTCAGGTTTCTCCAGGCTTGCTTTAAATACCCCTTTCACAACTTGAAACCTTTTCAAGAATTCAGATCCTATCTGAGCTAGTTCTAAGCTCGTAATTCTGGTGTGCTGCACGTTACAGCAGAGGAAGGAGAACAAAAGATGCTCTTTCAAGTGCTGACATAATTTAAGCTAATTGGAGACTACTTAAAATTTTCTTCCTGTTTTTAAGGGCCATTGACTTACCCTCCTGAGGAATGATGCGAAGAGTTACACTGAGACCTGCATCTTTAATTAGCTTCACAATATCTGCATGAGGCATGTTAATAATAGACTGGCCATTCACAGCTAAGATCCGGTCTCCAACTTTAAGTTTTGCACAGCGATCCGCAGGACTTCCATCAATTATCCGCCCTATTTTATGGGGTACAGCTAGACAAGAAACAATAGACACAGTTAGCATATGCTGAAACAAGTGGTGATGCTCACAAACGAAAGAAAATGAGCTCATTTTGGAAGAAAGTTCTATATGAATTAAAACACAGCTTGTGTAAAAGCATATAAGAATATAAATTCTTATGCAATGTCACTTGCAGTAACACAGTACTGTTTTTTCACTAAAAATTCAGAATCCAGATGCATATATACACATGACATATATATATATATATATATATATATATATATATATATAAAGGCCAAGTAAGTTTATAATTTAGCTATTTTGCAAATCTGGCATGAAACAACCTAATAAGCAGATCAGGAAAACAATAAGGCATTAAACAGGGAAAAGGGATAAATTTGCACAATAAGTATCAGTCATAAATTGTCTCCCACCTCCTGGTTTACAGAATTTCTTTATTTGCATGTTGCAATAGAGGCACCAAAACATTATTTATTATATATACAAAAGTTGTTACTGAAAATGTCCAGGGTACACGAAATTGTTCTCCTCCATTCAAATGTGTTTACTGATAAGTAGAAAAAATACTGAAGATTCATTGAGATGTGCAGTTCTCTAATTAGATATTAAAAATAAATGAATAGGATTGAACTGACAGTTAGCTATGTGTACATAGACACTTACTACATCAAAACATCTCAGCTCTCTTCTCAAAACATTATAGAACAAAGCTTCTCCTTTTGTTCTCCGTGGTTCTTCACCTCTCTGTTTACGCCATCTATGCTCTTGTTCTGTCTCTTCCCTCGTTTTCCACTGAATTTTCTAAATATTGCTCTTGATTTTTTGAGCAGTGTTTCTACTCTATTTTCTGGTTTTTAACTAAATGCATATGCTATAGCTGAGTCTTTTCCCCAAAGAGCATGCTACTTTTCTTTCTCCCAACTATTCATAAATATGCTTATCATAATTAAATGACTATATAGCCTATTAATATCCTAATGGTGTTTGAGTGTTCCTCCACAGTCCCACACTTCAGTCCTGGAAAACCTAGCACAAGGCAGCTCAGTCTCACTATCCATCTTTAAACTGGTGTTTAAAACCAGCGTGTTTCTTTTTTCAAAAATAATATAATCTTAACATTTAATTATCGACAGAGAACTTGGCAAAATGAAAGAAAAGATTGTTCAAACTCTTTTTGGGAAATACCTAGGCTATCAATGCTCAAATAAACCAAAGCTCTAACAGATGTGTTCAGAATAAATTGCTGCAGAACGAATTTCTCAGCATGCTGATAAACATTTACTGAAGGTTTTGGTGACCAACACAGACTGCACATCTGATATAAAGTCATAATAGACATACCTCAAAGTGACTTTTGTTTCTAGTATGGATGTGTTGTTTACAGTGTTAAAAATTAATTTTCAGTACACTGAAAATATAAATGAGTACTCTGAAGTGCAAGCCATAATCAAACTGCATGCTTATTTACCACTACGGCTCAGGCAAGAATATAAATTAAAACACAGCTTTAGTAATACAGACACGACTCATGTACTTCAGAAATGTCTTGTTGCCTAGGAAATAAGCACCTAATTTATTTTAGAAATGTCTAAACATTTCTATGTTTTAAAATATACTAAATACGTATCGCAACGCTTTCTACAAAAATGGTGTTTATTTTGCCCTTAATGTGGACATATAACTGCCATGCATACATATCAGCGAGCAAACAAATAAAAGAGTAACTTGACTCTTAAACAGTTTATGTTCACAAAGAGTTTTTTTTGTCAAATCAGTTCTTAAAGAATCACCAAGAATCACTTAAACTAATACTAAAATGTGCCTGTTTCTGCATATGTAATAAAAGATCTGTTTGAAATTGTCATGTCTTTACTATATATTAGTGAAGATCTGAAAATAAGACTGCCTTATGTAAAAGAGTAAGAAATTTGGTAGTAAGAAAGAGGAGGAAATATGGTAGAGATGGCACAACTAAAATTTCTGTACTTGCCAATTCTAACACTAAAGATGTTTTAGCTAGCCTAAATATTTAAGTAGAGACATCATTTCAGTAGTAAGGGGTGTGGGAGGGTGGGGGTGGGAAGTCCTATTAATTTGCCAGAAAAATTTTTTGTTGGACTTCTTGTACCTGACAAGTGAACAGAGCAGATGTCTGCATGTTTGAGATGTCTGCTGAAATCAAAGCTGGAGGTGGGAGAGCCACAAGAGTCTAATTCAGATCCAAATCCTGAGAAAAGGGAAGGGAGGGAGGAAAGAGGAGGAACTTGGTGTCCTTTTCTTCTTCCCTTTAAGCCTAATGGTCTTCACCTTCCTGATAAAGGTACCTACTCTAAATGTTTTGGTATCCCTGAACTCCTTTCATTCTGTCATGTTATGAAAGGATCAACAGTAGGCGACCATCAGAAAAAAGCTTGTATCTGTCAAGCTACCTTTTCTAGTCCACTTTGCTATTTGGGGATTTAATGCTCCTCTTCTCAGGTTGTATTGGTGCCATATGTTGCCATTGGATCTTCCTGCGAAGTAGGGTGTAGGAAAATTTTGCAGAAGGAATCTGAATCTCTGTTGGATTCATTGTTACACTGTTATTCTCTATAGGGTTTTATGATCAAATCCAGTGACTTATTAGAGGAGCTCATGGCCACTCAGCAGAAACTGGTTTATGCACATTTCTACAAAATATGAGGAGAATTTTATCTCATGGCTCCTTCTCTCCCAGTAATATTATCCTGAGGAGTTTCTGTTCTTTGCTTCTCTTCCCAGTGGAACTCTGCCTTAGAGCCCTCCTAAGCCCCAATATCTTGGCTGCCATGGTCTCAAATGCTTCCTCGGGAGGGGAGGATTTATTTAGGGTTTTTTTTACAAGCATGAATTCTTCTAAGGGAACAGAGATTATCTTTTGGTGTAGGTTGTTCACAGAAAAACAACCATGTCAAAAAATGTTAGTAAACTTTCAGTTTTTAGAGACAGCCTTTGGTGGTGAAATACTTACTTTGAAGGGTTAAGAAGGAGCTACTCTCATAGGGGATTAATTAGGTAAAAGCCAAGAACAAAGCTAGAAATGAACTGTGAATTTTCCTAATGCAGAATTTTTATTGTTCTGAATGGTCACATCTAAAACAAGTGTGGAAGAGCTGTAAACTGTCAGTAGGGAGTGGGTTGACTGAAGTGGCAGACAGGATCTCATGAAAAGAAATGCAAGATGATATAAGCAAGGAAAAAATAACCCTGCCTAAGATTAAGCAGAGATGAGTCCTAAATTAATTACTATCACTCAAGGGACCTTGAAATGTGTGCCTACTTCTCTAAAAACATAAACTCATTAAAACAATCAATATGATGCTAAGAGTTAGAATAACAAGTGAAACAAACTATTGCTAGTTACTGCTGTGCACCAAGTCTGAGTATTGCTGATTGTTTCAGTATCATCATCTCAAAAATCATAGCAATGAACTCCAAAGAATTCAGAGAAGAGAAGCATCGAAGTCAGAAGCAGAAAACAGCCTCTGCTCAAAGGAGCTGTCTAGGAAATCACTGTCTACACCTTGCAAAAGAGAATTTGGGGCAACCTTCTGGAGGGGCAGAAGAATAAAAGGATTCAAAAAAGGACTAGAGCAATTTATGGAGGTGGACCCATTGCTGATTAAATCAGAAAAACTTGGCTGTGAAAGCTGATAGAATGCCTGGGAAAGGTCTTGTCTGCTGTAGGGTGCTGTCCTCTCTGCCGCTGGTCACAGCAAAGGGACAGCAAGGACCTGTGTGGCTACTTTGTCTCTGTGTGGCTACTTGGTCTCTGTGTGGCTACTGTGTCTCTCAGCATGGGAGGTCTCTTCTTGGAAAGAAACCTCCCATGTCTGCCATTTAATTAGGGCTTTGTTAACATACAATACTTTTGGTTTTTTTCTTAAATTGCATCTTCGGTGCTTTATTTTTCTCTTAGCAGAGCGTTTAATGATGTAACCTTTAAAAGAAAGTCCCAGATCACCCAACTAGTGGTAAATGTTTCCTATCACCCTTAAATTTTTTTTCTAATCTATTCATGCCTCTTTTAACAATTTGCCACAAGCTGTTCTCCAAACACATGTATATATTGAAGAGTGGCAGCATGTGCCTGGATGAGACTTTGCAGAGGATCTGATCCACTTATTTCAAAACACTGAGTTATCTGAGCAGCATTTAATATTCGCAGGCTATACAAAAAATATTTGGATTTGTGGCTTTTTTCCAAGAAAAAAATCATTGATTTTCCTAAAAGTGAATGCAGAAAACAAGCTTCCCTTTGCAGAACAATTAATTTCTTGGTTCTTAGACTACACAATGAATAGGACTGCAAGGGAAAAATTACTGTAAACAAGGATTAATACATATTTTTTAACAGTTGAAAATAGGGGAAATTAATAAGATTTAATTTATATGTATACAAACCACACAGCCCTGCAAAATAGACATTTAGGGTCCTTTTCTCCAATACTAAGCCATGCAAAATGTTATACTCATGAGTGATATAGTTGGAAACCTACCTTAAGAAAACGAAATCCTTCCAAGACAGAAGGCATAATCCTAGACCCAAAATAATCTAGCAGAGAGAAGCAATGCTGCAGAAATCTTATCTAGGAAAAGATCTTACAATGGAATGTAACTTCTCTGCAGTGTATTTTTCAAAATGTCTTGACTTGGAGAAGATTTGAATCCTGAGAGCACCAAAGCTTCTGTGATATCTGAAGTCATTAATCTCTCCTCCTAAATCTTGCTCAGATATTTACAGCATTACAATACAAACTGCCCCAGAGTTGGCATATAGCAGCTGAGGCTTTCCCAGAATATATTTAATTGTGCAATGATCAACTCTTAGCTCATTAAAGAGAAATTAAATTAAAAAATGAAAAGACAAAATGATTCAAAGGAATTCTTTTCATTTAGAAAGTGGATAAGGTGTGCTTTCAGAAACTTATTGATAACTATAAATTCACATTTTTCTCTATATTAATATTTTTATTTAATAAAAATCACC